GGAAGGGTCTGGCAACCTGGTGCCAGAAAAGAAAAGAAGATGTTTGGAAGGAAGGGTGAGTCGGTATTCTGCTGCCAGAGATGGTTGATGTAGTGGTGCTGGCAACAGGTTGCTTTAGGTAACGGTGGATCGGATGAGTCAAACCTAGCAACTCCGGTGGAGCTATGGAGGGTGTGGCGACGTCATGCTTTTAAGGCTCTTCGGAGACCCCGCAGTCATAGATTTTGTGTGGAAGGACATCATTGGGAGATCTGGTTGGAGTGTGGAAGTGTTACCGATTTTTCTGTTGTGCCAAGAGATTGAGGCAACTGGAGCTTGTGGAAGATGAGGTAGGAGTGGCTGCATTTTGTCCACTCTCCTCGATGTTGATTGTCTTCACTCACTGGAGCCTCTCAGTCGTGGAGTGTGAGGGAAATGATCGGATGCGGAGTCCTGATACAGCTGCAGAGAGTAGAGAGAGGAGTTGTGAGGGATGAACACTACTGATTGCATTCTTGAGTGCTGGTGTTTTGGAGCAGTCAGTTTGGGGTCACGTAGATACAGTTATTGGTGTTTCTGGAGCAACAAGGATCATCTTACCTCTTGAGCCTTGAGCCCTGAAGAAAATCTGGAGAAACATTTCCTCACTGATGGACAAGAGATCCATGGCAAGCAAAGTTTTTTTTAATCTTTCAGATTGGAGATGCCCCCCAGCTAATGTTTAATGTTCTTTGCATGAGAAATGAGAACAAACAAGTGTGAAGGACAAAGAGTTACGTATAGGCCCATGACAGGAAGTGGAGTGATTAAGGTGTGGTCCTGAACTTTAGCTAAATGATTTTTTATTGCTTGCTGGCAATGTTGCCACAGAAAACAGATTTAAAATTACAGTATAATGCATCATGGATAGATTTACTTAGCGTGGGTAGGGTCAGCAATGTGTGAACTCATTTGGGTTGAATATATTAGAAGTTCCGTCATATGTAAAAGACCTGCACTCTGCCATACACCAAAGGTTATATTTTGAAATTTCCACCTGAATAGACAGCACCGAATTCAGTCAGATTCAGCTGAAAAACTGTAAGGGGGGAAAAAACCCCCACAAGGATTAGAGACACTTGGGAGAATTTTAGAATATAATCCTTATCTTTACGGCCAGGCCAGGGTCAAGTTTGAAAATCTTGAACAAAAATGGATATTTTCACTCGAGGCTAATTAAAGCTGTAAATTAGCAAATAAAAAAACAGTCCTAAAGTAAACACTTAGCAAATGGTGATATTTGATCTGTTAGTCTTAACTCTACCACATTTGATGCACCAGAAATTATACACAACCGCTAAATCCATTTTAGTCATAGTGGTACCAGTGGCCTCTTCAGTGAATGTGCCTTCTGTGCACAGCGAGTCCCTTTAATGAATAGCTATCAATCACACACACACACACACACACACACACACACACACACACACACACACACAGCAAGTTGCTAGGGAACAAATTAATTAAAGAGACAACTGTTGAAAATTGGTGCACAAATTTTAGAGCCTTTAATGGTCTTGCTTGCTATTTCCTGTACCTGAAAAATATGTCACGCTCAGGGATGCTGATCCACACCAGTAAGCTTCATCACACCACCGCAGGACACCACATGGATATGAAATATATTTATTGAAAAACTTTATAGTACATTTATGACAGTTGTCAATATTTTTACATTTTGCTTTTTGTTTTGTTTGGTTCATCAACATTCTTCTGCCAAAGAGACCAGGTTTTCATTTTCAATCAGAAAGTATCATCATGTGTGCACAAATAATGCCTGCGTATTAACTGCAGAAGCGAGCAACCAACTATATCGTTGCAGTATTATAAAACATCAAAGACATGACAAGACATTCAGTTTATAAATGGATTAACCTAAAATAATGTGAAAGAAATAAAGTTACAGACAGTAATAATTATGAACAACCGTTTATGAAAACCGATTATGTTACATTACAAATATAAAACACATCATAACTGGCTGATATGTACAACTGCGACATCCTTTGTTGTTGTTAAGACAGTCTTATCTGACAATCCGGCATGAGGTTATGTTGCCTTCGCCTTTCAGACTGTCGTGTGCAGCGTGCCGTTTATATGACTGAAGAATTCATCTCCTTTGGGTATAAATTCAGCTGGTTGCCATGTCCTCTTGAAACAGTCGTATTATGTTCTGTAGAATCCTTTGGGTTTGGGGCTGAAAAACAAAGTCCAAGGTTTCGGTTTGCGTTTTGGAACAATGTACAAAACTACATGTAAATGTTTATTTTATTAATGGTTATATCTTCACAAAAGGCTCAAAGTATTATTCAGATTCTGGTGTTGATGAGTGTGTGCGTGTAAATGTGTTTCTGGGGTAATTTCACCAGTCCAGGAAATGGTTTGTACGTACTTCTTACATTGGCAGACTTGATGCCTGAGGTGTCTCATCCTCCGCTAATGTCAGCCACAAAGAGAAAGACGATTGAGAAGGAGACTTGAAATAACACTTTTTTTCATATTTATGTGATCTAACACAAAATAAGAGAAATGGCTGAAGCTTACTTGTCTGCGTCGGCGGATGCTGACGGCGACTACGACGAGGAGTATTATGATGACTGCAGTGCTGCATATGATCACCACCATCCACACGTTCATTTTGGGTTCCACTAACAACACAGACAGACAGTCATGAACGATTGTACAGAACAGAAAACACATCATGTAAAACCTAGTTTCTGGCAGAAAAATGTTGTGGCCACAAGGTCATGCCCATGTCACATTTTATGCTCTCCTCTTACTTCTCTTGCTTACCGATTGACAGTTTTACCACAGCTGACGTCAGCCGGATGTTGCTTTGCCACAGCTCGCACCTCCACTTTCCGCTGTGCCCGCTGCCTACTTCTGGGATGGTGAGACGGGCAGAGTGATGGTCAGGTATCGACACGGAGGGTTTTTCAGGTGGAAACCATTTTAACTGCACATCAGAGGGCAGCGGACTACCAGTGGTGCAAGACAGGTTGACCATCTGACCAAGAATCATCTCCGTTCCTGGGGAGGCGATGACTAAAGACCGGAAGAAAGGGAGAAAGGAAGAACAGAGAAATGAAATAAATGTTCAATGTGTTGTCATATTTCTCACAGAGCACAGTGGCACAAGACTAGTCAGTTATGACACTCCATCAGAACCCCCTGATCTGAAACAGTAATCAATCATTCAGACATTCGATTGAAAGAAAGTGAATCTGTTGCTATTTTAGCAGTAGATTAATGATCAATGTCGCTTCTAAAAGCAAGTCTGCACAGTCGTACCCTGGCTTCTTCTCTTTAAATGTGAATATTTGTTACAATAACTGCAATATCTTACATTTGTATATCATTTTATTACATTTGATATATTTTTAATTGCGCATTTGCTTGTAGATGAGCTTGATGGCAGACATAATCAAATAAATTTCCACCTGACAAGCATGTTAGCCGCTACATTAGCGACACCGTGGTTACAGAGAGATGAAAATACCGGCACAATACAACAGAGCCGAGGAAGAGAGGGAACAAAGGAACGGCAACTCAAAACTTTCTCCAATTTATAACGAATGACAATCAGGAAGAAGCAAAAAAACCCAAAACTGGACACTAAACAAAACTGATCACTAAAGAACTACATGATAACTAAACAGTAAGCAAACTTCATATTTCATTTCATATTACAGATGTGAGTGTAACAGAGACTTGGGTTTGTACGAAGACATTCGTTTTGACTTACTTTGCAACACGTCTACATGCACAGTCCTCTTCAGAATTTTACCCCCTTTAAATTTTATGGAGCATTCGTAGCTCCCTCTGTCGTTTTCTTTTCCTCGAATTCTAGTCAGTGACAGATTTCCGTTTTTCACGTCTGGTGCTGGACTCAGTCCTCTGTTTTGATCTTTCTTCCAGGTCAATGGATCCTCCAGAGAGAGGGAGAAAAGCTTCTGTCCATCGCGAGAAACAGGACCTGAGAATGCCTGAGGGAAGAAGTCCCACTTAACCTCCTCGATGTCCTTTGTTTTTAATTGTTCCCAGATGTTAGAAAGAATGGAACAAGGGATGCTGAGAGAGGAGCTTGTAGATGTATATTTATGTGAAGGAGCCGGGGAGAAGTCTAAAACATAGAAAAGGTTGAAAAATTAAGACGTTTTCCTCAGGATGAAGGTACAATATTGTAAAACAAATGTACATAAACAGCAACTTACCTGCAACTTTAACAGAGACTGGGATCTTTTGTTCTTTGTTGTTACTTGTCACAACACAGGTCCACTGACCATTGTCTTGGCCTGTGACTCTGCTGGTGTGCAATCCGTTGCGAGTTGTCACTTTCTGTCCTTGGGCATTGAGCCACTGAATGCTCGGTTTGTTGGGCATTTGAACTCCCACGGTGCAGGTCAGAGACAGAGAATCTTCAGGCAGCAGGAGAGAGGGTGGTTTCATAGTCACTAGCGTGGAAATTGAGCAGGATGAAGAAAACAGAGGCGTCTCATTTACATCATGCACACATAGTTTGACAAGTACAAATACTGCTACAGCGAGGTAGAGAAATATCAACCTTCTACTAAGTGAGAACACAGTCTTGTTGTTAGCTTGTCTACCATTACTCTTTAGTTTGTCCTTTGGAGTTTAAAAACCCAAAAGGCTGGAGACATTGGCAAAGCAAATCCTGAATCCTGACATGAAAAACATTTATTCCCTTTGCACAACACACTGCATCAAAACATGCACCATGGTTTTACCTAGATTATGTTTGCGACTACATAAGTACTACTGTTACATTTATAATACTCCTTTAAATAAAAATGCACCACGGCGAATGTGAAATGACTGTACTGATCATGTCACCTTATTTTTATTCTTACCATCGACTTTGATGATTCGAAATGTTTGGAAAAATGGACTTTGAAGATCAGAAGAAGTCATTTTAAAGATGAACTTCCCAAAATGCGCTTCCTGGATGTTGCTGATAACCAATGAGTACCCTTCCATGGACAGCCATTTTTTCCAGGATTCATCTGCAAAGAAAGACTCAAAGGTAAATATATTTACAACAAACTTCCCTGCTTGATGGAAAAATAAAATCATGTATCTGAATATCTCAATACACTGCTTACTTTCCGAGATCGTTTTTCCACCAAAGGAGTTGGCCGAGCCAAGATAAGGACTATTCAAGTCATGGAAATGCCAGATCACGTAATGTCTTTGGGGATTTGGCGGCTGAGGCACAAGTTTAACCGTTTCTCCCACCTGAGCAAACCTGATCACATCCTCAGCCCCTAAGAGAGTGCAAAGAACGTTATGTGTTGATGTGCCAAACCAAACTGTCATTAAAAAAAAAAAAAAGTGCAATTAGCACATCTTACCCATTGTTGAGGCGAGCACAGCAATTAGAATGAAGGTGGATTGAATTAAGCTCTTCATCGTGGTCGCATGTCTGAAAAATATTATTTAAAGTGATTTATGCATAAATTTATTCTGTACGAGCTGAAGTCTGTGAACTGATTTGTTGGGTTGTCCAAGTAAAAGAGAAAAACATTCAACCATGACTCAGTTTCTCTGCATCAAAAAGGTCGAGATGCGGTCTTTCAAGATATTTATAATATGGAAAAATAATAGAAATGTACAACATATTGTTATAGGACAACAATAAAATACAGCAGAATACAATAAAAAACAAATCTTCATCGTAATAATAACAATCTCCACAGAAGGCTGATGTACATTTTTACAGAATAAGAGCATGTGCAGCAGAATGTGGACCACGTATGAAACTGTGGATGAGTGTTTGCACAGAAAAAGGTAAGTTAAGTTTCACAACACTCAATCTAAACACTTTATTTTAGACGTGATTGACAAAGTTCATAAAGTAGCCATTCAAAAAGCGGAGTTTCAATAGACTCGCGTCGTAAGGAAGTCTTCACTTTGTCGTACGTACGCATATCAAACTGAGCAGCTGAGTGAAAACATTCAGCAGGAAGCAATGAGGGATTTGTGGTGGTCTCAGATTTAGTGATTTGAGGAGATAAAAGACAAAAGGGTTCAGAGAGGTGAGAGTAGGAGGCCTGTGGTGGGCTTTTGGATAAAAAGCAGCAACGCGGAGCACAAGCGCCGGGTTGTGGTGGGACTTGATTTAGTTAAGGTGCAGATTCTTATCCCAATCCTCCCATCTTCTCCTCCCCCACTGCCTATCACACCCCCTCTCTTCCTCCCCTGTTCCACGAAAGACGGATCTCTTTACTCTTAAAAAGTAAAAAAAAGAAGACCACAGCAGCGGCAGCACACCGAGACTGTGGTTTAAAGTAGATGCTTCTCTTCTCTCTCCCTGTTTTCACTCCCTTATCTCTGCTATGCCTGTGAACTCTGTCATGATTGAGCAAAGGTTTCTTTGATTTTTTTTTTTTTTTTTTTTTTGAATCGAAAAAAGAGAATCAAAACAAGGAGTGCTTCTAGTGCCCCCCACATCCGTCGAAGAGGATCATTTAAAGAGAGGATCAGTTCTTATTTGCATCTACTTTACTGGCTAGATTTCTCGTGCCACAGCCTACCCATAGATAAGGACTTTCTATTGTTGTTTATGTTGGGCCTGGAAAGGAAACTATATAGATGATGTGTCAGATTATTATTATAATTTTTTAAATTATACCCTTAAATCAATTCAAACAAATGCTAAAAAATAAATCCAATATGATTAAGAGGCTTGACTAAATCAACACGGGTCAAACTATGTTAGTTAAAAACGAAGCGCTTCGGTCGTGTTTCAGCAGGACTAAGATCAAAGAAAGATTTTATTCAATATTAGGATCAAACAATAGCTTAATGTCAGAATGCTGGTTATTAACGGTATTCATGTATTTTGCTTTCAGATTTAACTACACTATAAAAATAGCTGAAGCGTAACAATTGGCGCTGATGTCTGTGTTTTTTTTGTTGTTGTTGCTTTTTTAATCGCTCGAGGTTTAATTAAAACTAACAAAACTATATGTAAGCGAATACGCGGCAAAGTGACAGGCTGTATTAGGATAAATACTCAGCCTAACTGAAGTCAAACTAATTGCTAATTGCTTTAAGATGTAATCATGTGCCTGAGGACTCACACTGAAGAGATGTGGTTTACGAATCCAGAAAGAAAATCAACATTTCTACTGACAAAAACAGGCATCGACCCACGGAAAAGAAAACTGAAATGATAAAATAGAAAAATGTCTTAGAGCAAATGTGTTGCCGGTGTATCTATAAGACCGAGGCCTGTAAACACACAAATATGCTCCATGTTTCCTCCGTCACAGGGGATCTGGTAGAAAATAGAAATCGCAGCGTTATTAATTATGACTGAGATCAGACTCTGTGAGGAAAAAAAGTGAGTGAAGACTGGAGGCAGAGTGAAATCGATGATCGACCAGCATTCAACACCATCACACCCGTGGAGCTGTAACCCAGAAACTAAGATGATTATATGTGTTCAACAACAAATACAACAGAGATGAAGGAGGAGGAGGAGGGTCAAACACTGGAGATGTAACTAGCAGAGGAAAACTAAGAAAAACACAGGACGAGGACAGACATGTTTACGCTTACATTTGGACATAAATAATCCATTAAATAAACTTGACATAGTGCAGCCTTGTGTTTTTTGTCTTCCAACTTCAGTAATTATACACGGCTATAGTTCACAGGGTTTAAAAAGGAAAAGAATCAGTCAGATCAGATGCATGGATTTTTTTTTTAAGAAAATCAGATTAGCGGCTATTTTGCCTCAGATTCATGAATTTGTGTCAAACTTAAAGACCTGAGGTCCAAAAGTTAATGTTAATGGTATCCTGGCTTATTTTGCTCAGACGTTCATATTGTATTTAAAGATCAATGTGATAATTAATGCACTAATTTAAAATGTAAATGTTGACTGATAAAATAAATACAGTCTACATTTATAATTTGTAAATCGTGCATAAATTTCACTGTAGCGGTCGTCTCTTTTGTACCGGTCAGCTGCCAGCACTCAACCAGCTGTAAGAAATACAAGATTCAAGACAAACTTTTAAATGACATGAGACGTAGTTTTATATCACTTTTGAATTCAGTATTTAAAAAAAAAAAAAAAAAAAAATCATTTTCATGTTTAATATTTAGTCTGTTTTCTTGCAATTTTGTGAAATGCTTACGGAGCATCGCCTAAAGCTGCTGATTAGTACATCTGGTCCTGAAGCTGTACTTATGTTCACATGTGTAAAACTCAAGAGAAGACTCTCACCTGACAGGGCCTGCCGAGGTCTTACAGGTTTACAATTTAAATTATTATTTTCTTTAAAAAAAGCAATTTTATTTAAATGTATAATTATTTGAACATTCTGAAATGTGCGTACATCGACCTTAAATCAAAATAAAGATGTTATACTTACAACGGCTGATTGTCGCTCTGTGTTCAGTGATCCTGAGTCAGGCGGAAATGCTTCTATTTATCAAACAAGCCGTCTTTTTAAGCGTCGCTGCGCCTCCCTCAGCATCGATTGGTCTGGAAGGAGACACATAGTCGATGATCAAACCCAGAATCAGAATAGCGACCTTTGATTGGTCGCTACAGAAGAGGAGGAGATTTCCTCACAAAACTTTTCCATCTCAAGATGAACAGTTTTACCTGATGTGTTGTTTAGGACAATATACATAAATATCATAACTATGTCTATATATATATATACTGCATTCTAAAAGTGGACAAAATAAAAACAATAATTATTACTTGCAATGAAGCCAACATTTAATCAGTAAATTCAAGTCAGTTTTTCATTCTTCATGTTTTTACATTTATTCTGGCCAACAGCCATAACAACAAATAAATAAATAATCTTAATGGGCTAAAACTGCCATCGCTGCACGAAGACGATTAAAATTTGTGAAGAGTCCCACCAGGCTCGTTGTTCATTCTGAGCACGGTCTGAACAGCACACGGCTGGCTCACGGCCTGATTTATTATAATTTTCCTCTGGTCGTACTGTTTCATATTCCGTACCGTATTATTAGTGTATCAGAATTCTAGTTTGACCTGCTGGATCAGGGTTCACCAAGGCCGGAGATAGATGCAAATTAAACATTCTGTGTTTGCCAAAAAGAGACAGTAGGTTAAAGGGCTGAGAGAAATTAAATAGTTTTGTAGATGAGTTGGAACGTGTGTTTGGTATATACAAGGTAAAATGAACGACCATAAAGTCAGCGTCGACAACGTATTGAATCTACGCTTCTATAAGGTCGGGTTCTCCCTCAGTTCATCTCTCTGCACTCGCACAGCATTCATGCAAATCGTCTTCATTTTTAGATGTCTTTTAGAAATCTAATAAACTAATTGAGCTAATCATCAGTCGATCAGTGATCAGGTTTACAGTCGTAAAGAGGAATGAACGTATAAAGTCTGCCGGAGCGATCGGTGCCTTGTATTCACTCACCAAGGCTATTTCACGTCTGAAGAGTTCAGGCCACCTGCCGCTACGTACGTTAAAATACTATTAACTCTTTTTTTTCCCATTCCATTTAATTTCAGTTTTTTTCATATGGTACCAATTCACCACATATCATAAGATCAAGGACCTAATAGTACGTAGAGAATCCAGCAGTTCTCTTTAAGCAAACACAACTAAGGAAGAGTAAGAACGATACATATATTTCCCTTTAAGTCCCAAATTGAATAGCTAAAAGGTAACTCATAGCTAAATATGATCTGTGTCTCGTTACGGTGCGTCACTGAAGAGACACTATCAAGTCAAAAACTTTCGTCATCAGAATTTCAATACTTTCCCCCAATATTTAAGACAAAAACGTGTTTCGAGATGTGAATCTTTGGTTGTAAAAAGATTTCACTCTCATAAAATTTTAGCATTTGGCCCAGTAGCTCAACGGCTACGATGGCGACCCATGTACAGGGCTATAGTCCCTGATGTAGCGGCCGTGGTTCAAGTCCAGCCAGCGGCTCATTTGCTGCATGTCCTTCCCCCGCTCTTCTCCTCACGTTTCTCTGCTTGTCTTCACTATCCTGTCCTTTAAAGGCAAAAAAGCCCAGAAAAAATGACATAAAATAAATGAATAAAAAATGTAGGCATTTGAACGCCCCTTGTTAAGGACAGACTCGTCAAACGGTTCAAGAGGCGATGGAGACGGTTTCAACAAATGTTCACATCTAACCGGGTTTTTGTTTGTTTTGTGTTTGTTGACAAATTAGTGTTAATTGTAAAAATTTAACATACAAGCTTTTATACAAACGTAGAAACTTCCCAACGCATACGTCTGTGAACTCTACAAACAAACCTGTAACTGAGAAGTTTATCGGTTTCATGTCTGCGACAATGTTTGGAAAAATAAAACCAAATCTATAAATACAGAAAATAAAACTTAACCAGCAAGAAATAAACACTAGTAATTGGTGTTATTTTAAAAAGTATACTTTATGCAACAAAAAAAGTAAAACTAGTGCTTCAGTTCACTGTAAAATGAATGCATTGAGCGTGTTGGCAGCTTGAACAATCATCAGTCCCCTTGTGTACCATTCAGACTGCACTTTACAGCGATTCTTTTATTACCTAACGACTAATGGAACACTTATGAGAAACCAAGCATCTGTTTCTGTCTCCTAACCTGTCGTAGAGCTGCGTCTTCACTCAGGACAGCTGTGATATAACATCAGTGGAATTTTCTCTCCGAGAGCTTCTTGTTATCCTCAAACAAGTCATGAACACAACTGCAAGGATTGTTGTGTTGCGCTGAGGCCTTCCCGCTGTGTGGATGTGATTACAGGAGTTAGACTGAGACGGTAAAACTTTTCTCAATACTTCACACTGAAGCTTTATCATAAGATGTCTGAAAAGGTAAAGAAATGTAAAGGAAACAGGAAAAGCAGCTACAGGCAGTTTTTATTTTGTGTCTTTTACTCAAAACTGCTTTAAATCTGCTCATTAACACACAACAGTAAGAGAATAAGACACTTTAGAATTGCAGGTGAGCAAAGTAAAACAGGGCTACATCCGCAGCGTAAAGGATTGAAGATTTTTTGTCCCTTCTACCTCGATGAAACAATACATTATACGTCGCACAACAAAACCCGGTTTATTTTCCAGGCAGCAATGAGGTGATGTGTCTGTGGACCCCTCTGACTAAAGACAGGGATCAGTGAGGAGACTAGTGCTGTAGAAACACACTGCCGGGGCGGTTTAGAGACACGAACCACAACAAGGACAAAACAAAACATCTTGCACACGTCTCATGTGTCTCTCTGAGGTTTCTCTGCTCGTCTCTGTACTGCCTTCATGAAGGGCTGCCACCTGCTTCTGTTCGCTTGAAACAAGTCTTTCTGTTTGCTCTCAGAACAAACGCGTTGAACATTTACGTCTGGGCCCCCATTAAACCTAATGCACTCCACAGTCTCAGTGTGATGCTCCTCTCCTTCCTCGGTGGACGCATGTCTGGTTTTTGAGTTGTGATTTTGATGGAAAACACCTGAAAGTGAGGACTCCCTCATTAGTCACACACCCAACAAGCTTATGTGCACCGCATCATGTCATTACCGAAATAGAAAAAGACAAAGTGTGGGCCACGAGGAAAATACAGAAGGATGATTCACTTTTTCATGTATATCTCTCGCTTCCCGAACCTCTAATCTCGTCTACAGAGGGTTCCCCTAGTTCGTGTCCCCGACCGGTTCTTTTTTGTGCTCGATAAACATTTCAGGTTACAGTTATTTAAACGAAGCAAGCAACCTGAACGCAGAAGGACGTCTGAGGCTCTGTAGCGACTCGTGTTTCAAAATCTCAGCGGAAAAGAGGTTAGGAATCAAAAACATCTTAAAGCATTTTGCCTGTTACATCATGAAGGAAACTTCATTTGAGTTTCTTTGAACCCTCTGACATACGAAACAACACATGAAGACAGAAAAGTTTGCTGTCGCTCCCACTCATTGCTTCACCTCCATCATCAAGTCACTGTTGCTTTTTTTCTGTGTTGGTTATAAGCTGCTGGATAACGATTTCAGCAGAACGGAAATGTCGATTCTTTGCATTTGTTACGGTTAATATAAATTTCGAAACAAGCATCATCATACAGAAAATAAATCATGTCATCAGAGTGGCTGTAATGTGAAGCTATTTTTGTTCATTACATCTGATAAACACAGTTTGACTCATATGAGAGTCACTTTTATCGAACTGCATCAGTGTTTTTAAAAAAAAAGGGCCAAACAAGCTACACAAAGTGGTGATCGGGCTTAAGCCGATGAGGTCAATGGTGACGTTGGTTTTGTGTGGAAAAATACATTTCCACAACGCCTACAAATGTGTACGCAGCATTTACTGTTACAGCTAAAGTTTCTATGTTAAATAATCAACAGTCAACTAGATTATTCATTAATCATAGTTGTCGAAAATGCTGCCAAAAATAGCAGGAGGCCAACAAAATGGAAATAAAAAAACTTCAGACAGTTTTCTCTCGCAGACAAAAAAAACCCCAAACTTTCCAACAGTCCTGAATGTTACGGTATCATTCAGATTTCAATAAATGTTTAGTTTTCTCAGTACTGCTGCATACAGTTCATACATTTTAATACAAATGATTGACCCAATGCCTTTATCTTAACATTAAATGAATTTGAGCTCCACCGTCATGACTTCTTCGCTCCAACTAAAAGCACTGCGATGCTAAACAACAGGAATACCTGCGTTACGCTCACTGAAAAAGCTCATAACGCACATTTCTGCAGCGCTGCTACATTCTGTAAAGACTGCCGGATTAAAATTTTATCAGCAACTCTCATATTTGCTTTGTTCCATCAGTCTAGTCGCCACAACATCCACTGATTCACCACTAGATTGGATTAAAAGTCTGTTTCTGAATTACACTCACTAACACTCATTAATAAACTTGTGATGATACCGTAGGACTGAAGGTACAGTACAGGTATGATTAGAAGCTCTCTCCACCTCCTCACATTCACACTGTGATTCATCTTCCTCCAAAACAGAGGAGACACACAGTAAACAAAGCCGACATCTGAGTTACACTGACAGCAGTTTTATATGTTTTTAAAAAAAGCTCTATAGATACTGAAGTAACATCTGTGTTGTGGACAAATCTGATGCCATGACAGCCCTAATTTGAACAACTTTTGTTCTAATTTTTCTTCCTGACCACACTGACAGCAAACAGGTGGCTTCCCTTCCTTCTGCTGCAGCTCAGCAATAAAACGCTGTCGTCAAATCAAAAAAATGTAGCTCTAAAAACACTATAAATAAGTAAGACACCCACAAGACTTGGCAGACCACTGAGCTGTATAAACACAGCAGGTAGTAATATTTTATTTAATTTAGTTTAGCACAACTTTAAAAGCTGATGCCAATATCCGATATTAAGATTTCTGATATCACCGATAACCGATGTCAATTTTTGTTCACACTGAAAAATGAGAATAGGTAAGCACTGTGAGAACATAAAAACTATTCTAAAGATGCTCATACCAAATCAGACCACATAGTCTTCTTT